CGTCAAATAAAATCTAAATAGTTTCTTCGAAATACGATCACGTATATCTCCAGATATTATTGAGTTTCGCGACGATATTCACTTATATAAATAATTATATAAAAATCATTATTATAAACACAGAAATCTATATACATTCTCCGCAATTAAGACAATACTCTCCACATATAACTAAATCGAAATATCATAAATATAAGTATAAAATGAGGTATTATTTATTAATCTTATACGTCAAATAAAATCTAAATAGTTTCTTCGAAATACGATCACGTATATCTCCAGGTATTATTGAGTTTCGCGACGATGTTCACTTATATAAATAACTATATAAAAATCATTATTATAATCATAGACATCTATATACATTCTTCGTAATTAAGACAGTACTCTTCGTGTATAACTAAATCGAAATATTATCAGAAAAATAAGTATAAAAAGAGGTATTTTCTAAAAATCTAATATATCTAAAATAGTGTAAGGAGAATCTTCGCAATACGATCAAGTATATCTTCAGATATTAAAAAGTTTCACAACGTTGTTTACTTGTATAAATAATTATATAAAAATCATTATTACAACATAGAAATCTATATACATTCTCCGCAATTAAGACAATCGTCTTCACATATAACTAAATCGAAATATCATATAAGTTTAAGTATAAAATAAGGTATTATTTATTAATCTTATACGTCAAATAAAATCTAAATAGTTTCTTCGAAATACGATCACGTATATCTCCAGATATTATTGAGTTTCGCGACGATGTTCACTTATATAAATAACTATATAAAAATCATTATTATAAACACAGAAATCTATATATATTCTTCGTAATTAAGACAGTACTCTTCGTGTATAACTAAATCGAAATATTATCAGAAAAATAAGTATAAAAAGAGGTATTTTCTAAAAATCTAATAAATCAAAAATAGTGTAAGCAGAATCTTCAAAATACGATCGAGTATATCTTCAGATATTAAAAAGTTTCACAACGTTGTTTACTTATATAAATAATTATATAAAAATCATTATTACAACATAGAAATCTATATACATTCTCCGCAATTAAGACAATCGTCTTCACATATAACTAAATCGAAATATCATAAATATAAGTATAAAATGAGGTATTATTTATTAATCTTATACGTCAAATACAGTCTAAATAACTTCATCGAAATACTATAAAATGCATCTTCGTATATTATAAAGTTTCGCGACGATGTTCACTTATATAAATAACTATATAAAAATCATTATTATAATCATAGACAAATATATACATTCTTCGTAATTAAGACAGTACTCTTCGTGTATAACTAAATCGAAATATTATCAGAAAAATAAGTATAAAAAGAGGTATTTTCTAAAAATCTAATATATCTAAAATAGTGTAAGGAGAATCTTCGAAATACGATCAAGTATATCTTCAGATATTAAAAAGTTTCACAACGTTGTTTACTTGTATAAATAATTATATAAAAATCATTATTACAACATAGAAATCTATATACATTCTCCGCAATTAAGACAATCGTCTTCACATATAACAAAATCGAAATATCATATAAGTATAAGTATAAAATAAGGTATTATTTATTAATTTTATACGTCAAATAAAATCTAAATAGTTTCTTCGAAATACGATCACGTATATCTCCAGATATTATTGAGTTTCGCGACGATGTTCACTTATATAAATAACTATATAAAAATCATTATTATAATCATAGACATCTATATACATTCTTCGTAATTAAGACAGTACTCTTCGTGTATAACTAAATCGAAATATTATCAGAAAAATAAGTATAAAAAGAGGTATTTTCCAAAAATCTAATATATCTAAAATAGTGTAAGGAGAATCTTCGAAATACGATCAAGTATATCTTCAGATATTAAAAAGTTTCACAATGTTGTTTACTTGTATAAATAATTATATAAAAATCATTATTATAAACATAGAAAACTATATACATTCTCCGCAATTAAGACAATCGTCTTCACATATAACTAAATTGAAATATCACAAATATAAGTATAAAATGAGCTATTATTTATTAATCTTATACGTCAAATAAAATATAAATAGTTTCTTCGAAACACGATCACGTATATCTCCAGATAATATTGAGTTTCGCGACGATGTTCACTTATATAAATAACTATATAAAAATCATTATTATAATCATAGACATCTATATACATTCTTCGTAATTAAGACAGTACTCTTCGTGTATAACTAAATCGAAATATTAAAATAAGTATAAAAAGAGGTATTTTCTAAAAATCTAATATATCTAAAATAGTGTAAGGAGAATCTTCGCAATACGATCAAGTATATCTTCAGATATTAAAAAGTTTCACAACGTTGTTTACTTGTATAAATAATTATATAAAAATCATTATTACAACATAGAAATCTATATACATTCTCCGCAATTAAGACAATCGTCTTCACATATAACTAAATCGAAATATCATATAAGTTTAAGTATAAAATAAGGTATTATTTATTAATCTTATACGTCAAATAAAATCTAAATAGTTTCTTCGAAATACGATCACGTATATCTCCAGATATTATTGAGTTTCGCGACGATGTTCACTTATATAAATAACTATATAAAAATCATTATTATAAACACAGAAATCTATATATATTCTTCGTAATTAAGAAAGTACTCTTCGTGTATAACTAAATCGAAATATTATCAGAAAAAT